TCTCCCCCGTCCAGCGGTTGCTCGCGGTGTCCTGTGGTGTCCTGTGGTGTCCCGTGGAGTCCCGTTGAGTGTGATCGATAGTGAGACCGATAATGAGTTCGATAGTGAGATCGATAGTGAGATCGATATTGAGATCGATGGGATCGATAGTGAGATCGATAGTGAGATAGGTAGTGAGATCGATAGTGAGATCGACGTGGTGCCCCGAGGTGTCCCGTGGTGTCCCCAAAAGTGAGATCGATATCGAAATCGATAGTAGGATCGACAGGTGTCCCGTGGTATTCCGTGATGTCCCGTGGAGTCCTGTTGAGTGAGATCGATAATGAGGTCGATAGTGAGAACGATAGTGAGATCGATGTGGTGTCCCGCGGTGTCCCGTGGTGTCCCGTTGAGTGACATTGATAGTGAGATCGATAGTGAAATCGACAGGTGTCTCGTGGTGTCCCGTTGAGTGAGATCGATAGTGAGATCGATAGTGAGATCGACAGGTGTCCCGTGGTGTCCCATGGAGTCCCGTTGAGTGAGGTCGATAGTGAGATCGATAGTGAGATCGATCGTGAGATCGAGAGGTGTCCCGTCTTGTCCCGTGGTGTCCCGTGTTGGCCCGTGGTGTCCGGTGGTGTCCCGTTGAGTCAGATCGATATTGAGATCGATAGTGTGATCGGCAAGTGTCCCGTGGTGTCCCGTAGTGTCCCGTGCTGTCCCCTTGAGTGAGATCGATAGTGAGATCGATTGAGTCAGATGGTGGTTCCCCCCCCTCTCCCCCCGTCACAACTTCCTTATCACCCGAAGGGTGGTCGCACATACATCTATAATGTTGACATGATATATCGGAGGTGAGGGGGTGAGATCGAAGTGGAACGGAGAGCCCCCTACCAAGGAATCGGTTTCGGTTTCGTGTTCGTGCGTGCCGTGCGTGCGGGCGAGGCGAAGCTGCGGCGGCGGGCGAGAAATGTCCCGCCTCTGGCTGAGGCGCGGCCGGACCAAAAGTCTCCCTTCCGGCAACCGGTGCCGCGAGGTGTCCCGCCGGTGTCCCGTCGGTGTCCCGATGATGATGATGATGATGATGATGATGATGATGATGCTGATGATGATGATGATGATGATGACGATGTTGATGATGATGACGATGTTGATGATGATAATGATGATGATGATGATGATGATGATGGCCATGGTGGTGATGATGATGGTGATCCGATGGTGATGTTGATGATGCTGATGTTGCTGATGATGACTGTGATGGTGTCCCGGTGATGATGACGATGATGTTGATGATTTTGATGATGTTGATGATGATGGCATGATGATGGTGGTGTTGCTGATGATGCTGATGTCCCGATGATGGCGATGATGAGGTTGCTGATGATGCTGTTGATGATGATCATGGTGATGCTGATGGTGTCCCGATGATGATGATGATGATGATGATGATCATGATGATGTTGGTGCTGATGATGATGATGATGGTGTCCCGATGATGATGATGTTGATGATGAGGATGATGATGAGGTGAACAAGATGATTTTGATGGTGGTGGCCCGATGATGATGATGATGATGATGATGATGATGATGATGATGTTGATGTTGATGATTGTGATGATGGTGCCCCGGTGATGAAGACGATGATGTTGATGATGATGTTGGTGACGATGATGGTGTTCGATGGTGATGATTTTGATGAGCGGGATGATGATGACGAGGTGATGATGATTTTCATGTTGGTGGCCCGATGATGATGATGATGATGATGATGATGATGATGATGATGCCTCTGCTGATGTTGATAATGGTGATGGTGTCCCGATGGTGATTATGGTGGTGATGATGATAACGGTAATGTTGGTGTTTTGGTGATGATGATGTTGCTGATGATGATGGTGCCCCGATTGTGATGATGTTGCCGATGCTTCCATGATGCTGATGAGGAGATGATGATGCTGATGCTGCGTGTGGTGTACCGATGAGGATGGTTTTCCGATGATGATGATGATGTTGATGATGATGATGATGGTGACGATGATGGTGTCCCGGTGATGATGATGGGGATGCTGATGATGGTGATGATGTGATGATAATGGTGTCCCGATGATGATGTTGATGACGATGATGTCGATGATGATGATGATGATGACATTGATAGTGAGATCGATTGTGATATCGGTGGTGATATCGATAGTGGTACCGAATGCGAGATAGATTGTGTGATCGATGATTATATCGATAGTGAGTTCGAGTGTGATATCGATCGTCATCTCGATTGTGAGATCGATCGAATGAAATAGATCGACTGATATCGATTGTAAAATCGATCGAAGGAGATCGATTGAGCGAGAGCGATTCTGAGATCGAAAGTATAACCGACAGTGAAACCGATCGAGTGAGGCGTTGGTTCCTCCCCCCCCCCGAACCTCCTTATCACCCGAAGGGTGGTCGTATAGGTATATATGTATATGTACATACATATATGTGTGTATGTATATATCTTTATATCCGAG